CAAGAAGGCTCACCAGCGCCTCTTCTTACTGAGGACTCTGAGGAAGAACCACCTGTCCTCGGACATCCTGGTGAAATTCTACCGCTGCCCCATCGAGAGCATCCTGACTAACTGTATAACAGTCTGGTATGGGAACCTCTCTGCCTCGGACCGGAAGGCGTTGCAGAGGGTCGTGAAAACCGCCCAGCGCATCGGTGAAAGACCACTTCCTGCCATACAAGACATCTACAGGAAGGTGTCTGAAAAGGGCTGGGAAAATCATCAGAGGCCCCAGTCACCCAGCACAAGGACTCTTCGACTCCTGCCCTCTGGGAGGCGCTACATGAGCCACAGGACTAAGACCACCAGGTAGTGGAACAGCTTCTTCCCTACAGCTGTCAGAATCCTGAACTCTGACCCACATTAAACTCATGGACTGAACATACACACACCTACAACCACCTATAACTGAACACACACACACAATGGACAAAACAAACAAATGGCCAACTGTACCCTCATGCACAAAATAATAACATGGACTGGTTCAGGTGGTGGTTCACCAACCTTACAACCACTAGCACTTTATATAACCACAGTAGAAATTACCCACATATCTCACTGATCTGAACTGCACTACTGTAAATGCTGTATAGACAATCATTCTGTACAATACAATAATTATAGTTCTACAACTGTTTACAACTGTTTATTAATACTCACAATTGTATATCTACAATCAGTATAGTTCATATTTCATATTTCTGTATAGTTTTCATATTTTTAACCATATTTAAATCCTGTTCATACCCTGTACATAGTTTGTACACTCACTACAGCCTGTACATGCTTATAGTTATAGCATATTCATAAAATACTTTCATACCGTGTGCATTGTAACATACACATAATAGATCCATATTTTGTAATAGATTTATATTATGGCTAAAGTACTTTCTGGATGGATGCAAACTGCATTTCGTTGCCTTGTACTTGTGACATGTACAATGACAATAAAGTTGAATTCTATTCTATTCTACTCTATTTTAAAAAGGTTCATGTACAGGCACCACAATGACATGGCACTGTTATCTCACACAACCATCTGGCTAGGGGCCTTTTTGTTTTGAGTTTACGTGTTCTCTACAAGCCCGTTCTCACTCCCGAGGTGTAATATAGTGACGGTTTGTCAACCCCCGAGGCGTTCCTGAGGAACCCGAAAAGTGACCTTCCGGGTTCTTATGGATCCATGCAGAATGACGCTTCCGCGGTAATACACGTCCCGGCCATGTATTCCAGCCCTAAACTTAACGTTAACCAGGACTTTATTGATGTTAGATGGTGTTTTCCAAAGTATTTTAAGTAAAACAAATGTATATGTGTAAATTCATTCCAAATAGTTCTCATGTTTTCTCATTTTTCTGATTTCGTATTATAGGGACGTGTTGGGTGGCCAGACGCGTATACCAACGATTTGTCACTAGGGATGGGTACCGGTATCCGGTGCCATTACGGCACCGGTTCTGACATAAACGGTAGTAACCAGACCAAAAAGCAGCGCACATTTCGGTGCTTTTTTTCCTGAGATGTCATACAATTTGAATTCTAGCCAATCATTTTACCTTTGCAAGCATAGTAGGCGGGCCCAGGTACGTACGTTCTTTTAGAGCAGAGCTACAGATTAAAAATGCCCAAGGCGAAGCGGTCAAAGTCTGGCT